ATCGGAATTGGCCAGGGGTGTTTCGGTTTTGACTCCTAGGTTTGGGAAACCGGAACCATTGATTCTGGAACTAACGGTTTCGGTTTGGACTGTTGGTTTGGTCGTTTTTTAAAAATATAAAAAGGTGCGGTCAAATAGGACTATTGACTGACCGTTGGGCTTAAACGGTCAGGCCCAATGGTTTGTGCTAACCCAATGGTCGATGGAGGGGCAAATGACTACTTTGCCCCTCTCAACAGTCATATTGATGACTATTTTGAGGTTTATTTTGGTTATTTTATAATTAAAAATATAAATATCTAAAATAGATAGATTGACCCATTTTAACAACCAAATAATAGCTTGTTTTTGGGCCATTTTAGGAAAAAATATTCAAAAATATAAACACCCTCTCAAACCCCTCATTCTTCCTTACATATTTGATTAAGCACTCTTTGAAGCTTGAACGTTGGGAAGCTCTCTCCCTAATTCCAATGGTAAGTGGAAGCCACCACTTCACCACCAAGGAGGTTTTAAAAAATTTGACCATGGCAACTCAAGAAAGCTAACACATCAACATTGATTCCAAGCTGAAGGAAATCGATACGATGACCAAAGTCAAGTTCGACATCTTCATGCTACACTTCAAGAAGATCTGAAACATTCATGACTTCTTCCATGTCATATGCAATTACTGTGATTAAAATTTCAAATTCAAAAGGAGGAAGAGGATTTGAAACTTATTAAAAGCATATTTAGAAGAAACATCTAATATAAGCCGGAGGAAATCGATACGACGTCCAAAGTCAAGTGGGACATCTTCATGCTACACTTCAAGAAGGTCTGAAACATTCATGACTCCTTCCATGTCATATGCAATTGCTGTGATTAAAATTTCAAATTCAAAGGATGAAGAGGATATGAAACCTTTTAAAAGCATATCAGAAGAAACATCAAATATAAGTTGGTATGGAGAAAAGTTAAACGCAAATTTTTGGGTACTCTACTAATCCCACTTTTTATTTTTTATTGAAAAAAATCATGAAGCATTAACTAGATTAATTTTCGTTGAACATTTATCTTTTAGTTTGGGTGAAAAATCGGTTTTGTTGATGATTGTCAAGAGGTTTTAAAGTCTGCCGCATAATGAGTTCCTTGAACTACTCTTACCCGTACTTTACATAATCTTTATAGAAAAGGAAAAAAGGGATTTACAAAAAGTTTTCGAGCTTTAGATGATTGTGTTTTTATCTGTGCTGATATTTGGAGTGATCACTGGTAAATGCACTCCTACATGAGAATCACTTGTTATTGGATTGACAGTGATTGGACCATACAAAAATGAATTATTGCTTTTAGAGTTTTTGATAAACGACATACAACCGATAATATTTATAGAATGATAAAAATAATTTTAGAAGAATATTATTTGGTTTTTAAAATTTTTTCCATTGGTCTTGATAATACAGTGACAAATACCGCTTTTATTCCGGAATTACAACAAGTATGTCAACCTGCTTTTGGTGGTATTTTTTCCCATGTTAGATTTGCTTGCCATATATTAAATTTATGTGTACAAGGTCTTAGATCTCTTGAAACTTTTCTTTCTCTCATTAAGCAGGCTATTTCATTCTTGTGGGGTCATCCATAAGTAATGAAAAAATGAGCCAGATTTTGCAAATTAAATAACAGGTCCAAAAGATTTAAGGATATTTCTATATGATGGAATTCTACATATGAATTACTGAAGGAATTTTTTGAATATAAAGAATTATTATACACTTTTATTGCAAATAATGCCTTAGAAGAATATCAATATGATAATGATTTAAATATATGACTAGAATGGCTATGAAATCAAAATAGACTAATTATTTTTTTGAAATTCCATCGGTTTATTTAGTTTCTTGTGTTTTTTATCATTGTATTAGATTAGATGGCTTAAGTGATTATTTAATCACTTATTATGAAAGTTTAAAAGTAGATGTTGATATCAGTAATAAAACTAGGGAAATTAAAAAATTGGTTATTAACTTATATGGCCATTATCAACCGAAGGGATATGCGAAACATTCCACATCGGAAGTGATTAACGATTTATAATTTTACTCAATTTTATATTATTTTTTTTAATATTATTACATATTTACACTCATTATAGTTATACATCTATTTTTTTTTCGAATTTTAGAAATAAAATATAAATTTTCTTCATATTATAAAAAAATTTAATTAAAAATAATAAAATAATATCTGTTCGAACCAAAACCAAAACCGAAACCGTCGGTTGCAGATTTGGTTCTAGAATCGACCCTTGTCGATTTGATTTTGGTTCTAGGTTTTGCCAAACTGGAACCATCGGTTTCGGAACCATGGTCAGGGATAAATTAAGCTGCTAAAAATATATATTATTTGGAGTAGAAACCCTTTGATGTGCATTGGCCTTTCCATGATATCCTGGTGTAGGTCAGAAAGAGGAATAAGTTGTGTTGCCTGTTATAATATGCAAATGTTATATGCATATGTATCGTAACAGTATTCCAATTTAGTCATATAAGGAACTGATCTCTTTTTGGGAGCTTTTCCGACTCTATTGAAGAATCATGTAGTGTGTTATAAAACTTGCTTCTCGTGTCCTGTATATGTGAGATTATAATATGATGTGCTAATAGTATCTGCTTCTTCTTTGAATGAACAAGTGTGCCTTCCTAATTACCTGTTTTCTATTAACTATCCTTCCATGTAACATGACATGCAGTGCTTTCATTCTGTACATTTGAGGTTGTATGTAACATGCAATTATTGGATAAACTTGGTTAATTTCTCTACTCACTGACTGCCACTCAATTCCTCTATTGAAGATAGAGTAGAGAAGAGTCCAGGGCCGAAGACTTGGACGCTGACCAATCCGGTGCCATTAAATACCGATGGTAGCTCAATTGCTACACTTCTCGGTTCAAACCCTGAAGTCCATTACATTTATGTCTGCACCAAGGTTAGTATAGCTTTCCAAATCTTTATATGCAGGACTTTCATTTCTCTAAACTCATCATCTGATTACCCAATTTGTGAACTCCTCATGCTGGTATGCACACTTTCAGCTTGAATCTCAAAGACCGCCTCAGAATGAGACTGACGATGTCACAGCCGAACAATAGCTCCAGATATTGATAGGGGGGTCCCATAATTCTTGGGCCTCCCACCGTGGGAAACTATGACACTGGAACGAGGAAAGAATAATTGCTCTATTCTGTCTGTATTCATTTTTGGGGAGCTACTCTTATTTCCCAAACGGAGTTGAGCTGGGTTTTTGCACACTAATCCTTGTTCGAGGAGTTTATCGTGTGCGTGTGTGGGATTGGGCCACTCGTATACTTTCTGAGACGCTTAGCTGATAGCAATTTTCGGATATTCCATCATGATCAGTTCTGAATCTTCATCCTGTGGTTTTTATATAGAGTTGCTGACAGTCGATCCTCACGAGCAATGCAGCCATTATCGACACTGATGAAGCTGCACGCATGGCAATTTTGAGTGTCCTGTGATGTTAATTGTACTGAACCTGCACGGACATTGATCCATACCCCTGTTACAGATGTAAGAACACTGAACCACCATGTCACCTCTGTATGATTTTGTTTAGTAGTATGGCTGACGTGCCTTTGGTTTATTGTTCTTTGACTCTGCCAGGTAAGACTGCCAGAGAGTGATCTGTATCGGGTGCAGTGTTGGATCTGACCAATTCCTTCTGGTTGACTAACCTTCCCCGGAAGCTGCCTTCCCCTGATGGCCGGTTCACACTTCTCCACCTTTCCCTCTCTCTAGCCGCGGTGCAGAGCAGCCGTCCTTTTATGCAGAAGTAAATCTCGAACCTTTCTATGGCTCACGTGAGAACTCGTCCATCTCCGGAAAGCGTTTTGGGTTTGCGAAAAGTAGTTTTCAGATACATTTCTTTGGCCAGAAAGGGGCTCGGATCGGTCACCGTATGGGATCACGCTGCCCCCTTCTGATTGGCGAGACTGGCGGGGCCAACATGTGGCCCACTTTTACCATGCGGCAAAACGCAAAAAAAAGCACCTTGGAGTAAAAGGCCGCAGCCCTGCCAGCGGACAGCGGTGGGTTGGTCCCCACGTGGCTCGCATGAGATTCGCTTCGCGGGGAGGGGTACCACTTGAACCGCCCAATCGCTTCGCGGCCGAGGACGCCCGGGCCCGCGCGGTTCCGTGTGGCGCAAGCAATCGAAGCCCTCGGCGCATACTGACTCCTTATGCGCCATCACCGGACCCGCATGAATCATATTTCGCGCCTCGCGATGATTACGCGAGGGCGACTGCCCACGTCACCGTGACGCATGCCCTCGTCGATTGGTGCGTACGCGAGGCTGCCATTTTCACCCGGATTTCACGTATCTACCCTTTGAATAAAAAAATTGATTTCAACGTCATTAAATTAGCGAATAATAACTGACCATAACATATTCTTATATATATATATATATATATATATATATATATATATATATGTGTGTGTGTGTTAATCTTAATATCCATATATGTATATGCAATTTTTTACCTTATATTACACGGTAAATCACCGAATCTATCGTATATGGTTGGACGGTAGAGTGTACGATAAACAATGCTGCATCGGAGAGTTAAACCATAATTGCATCCCACTATTTAGTAGGACCGTATGAGGTGTGGTAGCTCTTTGACCATTCAACTTTCAGATGTATATATTTGATTATAAGAATAATAAATGTGTTTGAAATTGGAAATTGGGAGGAACAACAGTTACTTGCAGCAATCGAGAAACGCATCAAGCAAATAAATAGAGATGGGTTGTACTAACCTCTCTTCGGGTCTGTTCCAGGTGTGAAACGGGGGCTTGACTTCTCTCGTACCACTTCTGCTTCCTCTTGGTTAAAAATAATCGATAAAAACATATATAAGTAAAATAATAATAATAAAAACGCTACGCCTCTCTCCTTTTCTTTTTCTTTTGGGGTTTTCTCCCTTTTTATCCTGGATTTGTCCCTTTTTGGTTTTAAGAGAGAGAGAGAGAGAGAGGAGGAAGCAGCGGGGATACGATCGGCCGATTAATTGCTCCTTAGGGTTTCTCCTTTTCCCCTAACGTCTTCCTCTGGTCCTCTCATTCGATCCCATCCCTTCGGAACCGCGCTGCTGATCGATCCCGGAGGTCCGGGTGATGTGAGGCGGGGGAGGGTTTATTCGGATTGTCTCTGGCGGATGGCAGAGGGCCGGCGATACGCTCTCAATCCTCAACTAGGTCGGTTCTGCACCACCCACATGACATCGAATACCATTTCCTTTTTCCTAGGATATAATTGCGGTGTGTTTTTGGGATGTTTGGTAGAATCCAATAACGTGTTTATCGTTTCTCCTTGAAACCGTTTTAGAGTAGGTTTTGAGTATACGTAAATATGATCACTTTGTTAATGCTACTCTTGTATCCTGATACTGTTTCACTTTGCTGAAGAAGCTGTCATGGTGGTTTGCAAGCTCCACCTTGGTGGGTCTTGGGCAGCCTTGCTAAGTTATGTGCTTTCCCCCCTGTTTAGTGCGTATTGTGATGTCTTTGGCTAGTTTTGATCTTGTTTACTTCCAGAGGTGGGCATTTTTTGATGCATCTTTTTCCTTTATTTTTTCATATGATTGTTTTCAACAAATAGAGTAAACTAAATTTTGCATTGTTTGGAAATTATGTAAGGCTTCAATTTGTGCCACGAACTACCTTAATGTCTAACGCATTGCTTAATTGATTAAATTCATACTTGCATGTTGTTTCTCTTCCATGGACATGGAAGGTCAAAAGAGTGTCTCTATTTCCTTGTATCTTTTTTCATATTCTTATTCACAAGAATGCTGTATTTTGTGATTATTGTTCACAATAAATTATAGTTTACTGTTGAGTTGCTGCTAATAAGATTTTGAAACTAAATTTATGTGAAATATTTGTCGTACATGTGTAAGTTGAGAAATTAAACCTTTTTTTGTGTATTGTCCTTGTCATGGCATTTGAGAACTAAGATCCAAATTTGTCTTTTCTCTTCTGGGCAGACATTGCACAGATTTTGCAAGAGGCAAAAAGTCGTTGGCTTCGTCCAAGTGAGATTTGTGAAATCCTCCGCAACTATCAGAGGTTCAATTTGACTCCAGATCCGCCTTACAAGCCTCCTGGTACATTTCACAGTATTTACCCTTTTTTTAAAAGAACTATTTGAAAGGCAATTTTATTTTGTAGTTGTAACTTTTAGGCACATATTGTAATTACAACAAAAAACTCCTGCTAGCTTTGTTTTTAAGTCATGCTTATGATGATTTTGGCATTCTAGGTTAACTTTCATGGATTTCAATTTTTTTTCCTTTAAGGATTTTGTTGAATCGTAATTTGTAAAGTGTAAACTACATACTAGCCTCAATTACACAATAAGACTGTTAGCCTCTGTATCGTGGAGGAAAATTTCCACTCTTGTTTTACTGCTAAAAAAATAAAATCCATACGTTGGGTAGTAGATTCAACACAGACTCAACCAGTTTGAATTGGGCCAGACGAATTGCTGGGCCCAAGCGCATGCCTTTGCAACGACCAATCAGAATGCCTCACCTGAAATATTTTGAGATGCTTGGCGTGTCTTCTTGCTTGGGCTCCTAGGATAGCACTACATAATAACACTGTGGGATGCCTAAATTGTGGATTTGATATGTATGTATGAACCTCTAAACTAGGTGGCATGCAAGGAAGTAGACCTACGTATGTTTTGGTTAGACTAGGATCACAATGTGAGTTAATTCAAATTACTGTTGTGAGGAAAGCTAGATAAAATTGTAACAAAATTTATGTTAGAAACAAGTCAAAAAGATGTAGTGGCTCGTAGTTTGGTTTGTCATAGTAAACAGAGTATTTTGGGAAGAATTAAAATATTTGGGATATATTAAGTGTGCATCTTATGCTTGGAAATTCCTATTTAATCCTTTCTGTATTCTTTTTTTGTTATTCCCTAGCCTCATACCATTATGATCTTGAATTATCTTAATTTTCAAACTTGGATGATTCCTATTTGTATAAGGATCAGCTGAGGGCGATCAAATCTTTCCCAAGAAAAAGGGTTTTTTGAGTAACCAATGGGAAATTATCCATGACCGATTAGAAATTGGTTGATTTTAAGAAATAGAATAGAAATCACTTAAGTGCCCTTAGCTGCATTCTTTCTAGGAGCCAGCATCGAGAAAAAAAGCGAGGAAAGATAGAGTCAAAAGTTTGGAAGAAGAACAGAGAGAAAGAGAGAGGATTAAAGTGAGAGTTCTATGTCATCGGGTAAATACAGCCTGTTGTGCAATTGCGTAGTCATGCCTCATGCCACCCTTCTTCGCATCACATAGCTTGCTTGAGTGCCCTTGCTTAACTTATTCACTTCCATATCAAACATGGTGGTTGGTTTAGGTGAGATCATAAGGAAAACCCAATAAGTTGTAACAACACAACTTATATTACACATGCAGTTATCTATGTCTATATATTATATATTGGATTGTGTACAGAATTTTGATTTCATGACCCATGGGTGTTAAACTTTTATTTCCTTGAACTTCATTCAGCAATGCACATTTATCGCAGAGAAACCACCCGAGTTGATTGGTACACATTTAATTGGAAAGTCTCTCTGTTTTCTTTTCCCACTTAACCACTGACCGTCAAAGAAGAATGAATTCTGATCAAATTCTTGTAAGTCATATATGTTTGTAGCAGATGAATTTGATATTTTTTTTCTCATATACAGAGATATTTGCTGAACTACAATTTGCTGCAATCAAGACCTCGAACCTTGATTGTGTTGTTTCTCACAAACTTGACTTTCTAGACTTTTTCATTGGATGGCCAATGTCTTCCATTTATAATACGTAACACCATGATAGCCAGCTAATAGATCTGGAGTTCTATAGGTGGTTCTTTGTTTTTATTTGATCGCAAAGCACTCCGATATTTTCGGAAAGATGGCCATAATTGGAGAAAGAAGAGAGATGGAAAAACTGTTCGAGAAGCTCATGAAAAGCTAAAGGTATGATACTGCTTCATTTCAGTTTTTTCCCTTAATATAAGTGGATATCTCATTAGGTTCCAATGTAAATTAACAAATAACTACCGTTAATTGCAATTTGAAAAGTGAATCCTAGAGTTCAAGAATTTGTTAAATATTGTTTTCTGTTGATTTGATTTGTCCTTTTCTCACTGGTTTGGAAATGGATGATACTTGATATGTTGCTTAAGCTCTGTTTTTAAAGCCTTATGTTAAACTGGAAATTTTCTTGTGTGTTTTTTATGAGTATTGTTTGCTTCTACATAATAAGTCTTCTAAACAAGGTTATAATTCAGTGTACTATCTGTGGTCATGAAACTTCTCGATGATTCATTTGTGAATTTTTTCATGGTGAAGATATTAAATTTACTTTGTCTATGGTTATTTTAGCCTAAGTTGTTGGCGGAAGTTCTTAATATTCTGAATGTGTTACCTTTTATCTTTGGATATTGCACTATGTTATATTTTATCAGCATTTTTTATTAGTTTAGTTGCAATAACTTGGCACATTAAAATTGGTAAGAAGGAATAATGATTTTATGTTCTTTCTCCATGCCAGTGAAAAATGTATTTATGCTCCTGTTTCTTAATTTTTGTCATATTTAGTGAATGAGCAACACAAGCAGCTCTTGGGGGTTCTCACGCACCCGATATAACCAAATGAACACACAATTAAAAACTTGTTTTGTATGCTCAGTGCACCTGTTGTGCACACCACACATACAGTTTATGCATTACTGACATTTCAAAACCCCCGAGCCTGTTTTGTGATGCAAGAATTTTTGGAATTGCCATGGTTATATTTGGCATCTAGAAAGAACTTTATCTTGTTTGTGTCCATATAAAATATCACAACAGATTTTATCTCGTAGGCTGCATCTGTTTCACTTTCCATAGATCCTGTTGTCACGGGATCTAATTCAGTGGCTTCACTTTAAGAGTTTGAAGTAAATACGGTTGAAGCTAAAGATGCCATTGCACTACTGAGTCGTTGTTTTGTTACGGGAATTATCTTTTCTTTCTGATTCTTTTTTATCATCAGTGTGGAAGTGTTGATGTGCTTCATTGCTACTATGCCCATGGTGAGGACAATGAAAATTTCCAGAGACGAAGCTATTGGATGCTTGATGGGTGAGTATAGCTTTTCTAGTGAATTAGATTCAGTCATCTGTACCAGTTAATTATGCCTTGTCAGATAATAAAGTTCTATGTTGGTAGTGAAGATTGTTTTATTAGTTTTCTCCTCTCTTATTTTTGATGTTTGAGTTGGAGGTACCTAGAGGTTTTGACAGTTCCTATGTGGTCACTGGATGCAGATACAAGTTATGTGCCTAATGTTAGGCTTGTGGCTAAATGTAACAATGAACACCAAAATGATAAATACATATGGACAAGGTTGGAAAAGAGAGAAGTCCTTGTTCAAACTTTAAAGTTAAATCATGAACTGCTAGTGGAACCATAAAACAATCAGGAGAACCGATGAGTAATCATGACATTATGCTAAGGTTATGACTCATGGAACATAGTGGAAATATAGTATTGCTAATTGATCATCACATGTCACTGATATTAGAGACTTAAGAAAGTGGTCATAACTTTCTACACCAAAAGAAGAATTGCCAAGTGCATGCCAAAATTTTCTGTGCATGACACTGATTGTGCACCATGTTGATTTATACGCCATACCCATCCGATAAGCAGTCACTGGACCTATCAAAACCTACACAAAATAAGTCAATGCATGAGACCAAGGGTAAGTTCATTTTTCTGGGGTTTGTAGAGGAAAGGCACTTGGAACAGCACACAAATTGCACTGGAAACTCAGAAACTTATATTCAAACTGAAAAAGGTTACAATTGACAAGTGGCAGCCGATAAAAAGAGGTAGGATTAAGGACAAAAATGGTGCCCAAGGATTCTGCAAGTCAAACAACTCTCTTAATTGATCTTGACCCCTTCCGATTGCTATCCAAGGGGTTCATCTGCCAAATCTCATCTCAAGGTGTTGAGACATGACAATATTCTTGGAAAATGTTTTCTTTGCTAAATTATTGCAAACGTCTGTGGCATTGCAAAACCCAAACAGTGTCATGGTAAAAAACCGTTTTCTGAATCCTGATAATGACCATGAAGTATATACAGGTGTTTTATTAGGCTCCAAGGACTAAACAATGTGACAAAATATTACATATCAACACGTACATTCCTGACATGCTTCTCACTTGAAAATATCAATGCCCGTATCAATGCCTTTTTATATGATGTGAACCAATCTTTCTTGTTTTTTCTGTTCTTCTTGATAATCCCTACTTGTTTAGTGATGGGAAAGGGCCTTCATATTTGTTTATAACTTGTTTGTGTTCTTTCTGAAAGAATTTGAGAGATCCAGGTGAGAATTTCACCGGCACCATATTGCCTTTCTTGAACTTTTGAGGCCTTGTTTTGAAATTGTCCCTTTTTCTTATCTTCTTGATGATATATTTTTTCCAATAATCTTGTGCAATCTTAGCTTTTTGGTGCAACTCCTTGGTTACATAATATGCACAATATTATTTCTGGAGTGCCCAATGACCACATTATGGTGTTGACGTTTGTTAATGGTCGATGATTTTGAAAGGGCTCTCATTAATGCAGAGCTCTACTGCAATTTGTACAAGAATTAGGTGATATTTATAAGTTTTGTTCAATTTCAGTGGTTAGCATTTACACAGTGCTATAGATATTTCTCTAAATAGCATGGATTCATTTAATTTGGTTGTTTTGTGGGGCCAACTTTGATTCCAATAGCGTTATGAGTTACATCTGGAACTGCCCTTTTAATATCACTAACTATTATTTATGGATTTCCTACACTATCCTTATGACGAGTCTTGTTGTCTTCTCTGTTGAGTAGTACCGAGTTGCAGGAATGAATGGTGCACGTTTAGAGAAACAATTAACCAGCAAAATCTACCTGAACTCCCTCGATTTTGGGAATTGTGAGGTGAGATTGAATGGGACACTCTTCCATGATCACATAATCACAAAATAGAGTTCCTACAATATCTTAGGCTTATATATCTCCAACTTGTCATGTTGGTATGTGAGACATGTTTGCACAAAAAAAAACCCCTTTCCAAAAGGGTAAGGGTTCAGTGTATCTGTGTGTCCTCTGCCCGAATGTACATGTTCACACCTAAGTTATCCACTGAGGCATGTATAATGAGTCCAACTTGGTTTGTCGTGTCTTTCCTGCCATTGATCAATTTCTTAAACATTGTATTTGTGGATCTATTTTATGAATCTCTTTAATTTTCAAGTGGAAGTGGAATTGCTCTTGATTCACGATCTCTGTAGCATTGAGTTGTAAGCCTGCCCAGACCCATTTCTTGCTCAAGACAAAGACCGACATTTTCAAGGCTTGCCCAGGCTGATAGTCCTACATGTCGAATTTTGAGGGTTCCCTCATTAAGATTATTTTAGAGAGAGAGCTTATGTTAGATATGATATTCTTCATTACAATCCCAAATCGTGGCCAAAGGAGATGACACATCCAAAAGTGTAGAGAATGAATGACTATACCCATCTCTCTCTCCATAGAGAATGAACAAGTGTTATTTCCTTTTTCTTCTGAACTTTAAAATGTTCTTTTGTGATGTTATGCTTCTGACTTCTATGTTCAACTAGATGACCCTTATTTCCTTGTTAATTTTCACCTGTATGCTTATTAAATATAAATGAATTTCGAGGTAATATCTTGTTTCTTCTAACAGTCAATATGAAATAAATTTAATGCAATTTTAATATGGTGGTTTTGCAGGCAATTGGAACACATTGTTCTTGTGCATTATCGAGATGTGAATGAGGTGATTTTTCTAGCCTGCATTAATTACTCTATTAAATTCTCATTTATGAGCTAATTCATTTATGTTTCTATCATAGTCCAACTTTTTGATTGTCGACCACATTCATTATTTTTCTTGCTTTTATATTCCCTCTCTTTTCTCTGGATATATACACATCTTTGGACATGACACACAAAAAGCATGCCAACTCGACAAATTTTAGGAAAATAGGACACAACATGATAAAAACATGATGGCTCCACTAACCACTATGGTGATTAACAAATGCATATTTTTATACTTAATAATGAATTTATGTGCTAAAATATATATTTCTTTAGTAAGTTTATGATGATTATATATTTCACTTGTACATGGAAGTTTTTTTGCCACTAATCTAGATATTGTAGCCATAATAGTGTTGTTAAAAGGCACCCAGGTGCTCGGGCGAGGTGAGGCGTGGCCTGAGTGCCTTGCACAATGTCCGGGCATGACACTTCAGTGAAGCTCTATCCGGGCACTCGCTTGAGCCTAGGCGCCAGGCGCCTGGGGTTGAGTGTCCAGTTGAATGTGAAGAATCAAACCAGATTGTCAACTCTGGTTCAATTAAACAGTTAAATAGTATCTTAGTTCAGTCAAACCAAGCATAGTAAACAAAACCCCATCCCCCTACAACCCACCTAAGCACAGTAAACTCTAGACTATCATCGTCGCTCTGACCCATCTTTGGTCTGCCATCGCTGCCTCCGTGAGCAGCTCCCTTCGCCGTCGATGGACAGGTTTGACGCTTCCTCTGTCATTGACGGATAGGTCCAAGGCTCCTGTCGTTGCAATTTTCATGTTCCCTTCACTGTTGAGGGATAGGTCTGTGGCTTCCTATGTCACCGACGGACACATATGAAGCTTCCTTAGCCCCCGACATCATCGTCTGCAGCTTCCTTTGCTGTTGCTGCTGCCATCTGCAAGTTTCTCTGCCACTGCTATCGTCGTTTGTAGGTTCCTTCGTTGTCATTGTCGCCATCCAAAGGTTCCTTCGTCACTGCTGTCCTCTCCTTCCCCACCTTTCACTGTCGATAACTCCTCACCGCAGCTAGTTTTAACTTTTAAATAGTTTAAAACTGATTAGTCCCTATTTAGAACTTTTAACCCTATTTAGAACTACTAATCCCTATTTAGTATTGTTACTCGCTATTTAAAAATGTTATTAGTCCTTATTTGGCACTTTTAATCTCTATTTAGAACTGTTATTAGGGTTTTAGAAATAATGCAAGTGTTCAAAGTTATATTAATATCAATTTAATGTTGTATTTTTTATTTTTATTTTTTTGGTAAGTTGTATTTTTTTATTTTTATAATCATATTTATCAATCATATTATCTATTTTTATATTTTAATATTCTAGAGCGTTTCGTTTCGCTCGGACGGGCGTCTAGCGCCTCGAGCATTTGGGATCTTGTCGAGCATTTTGGGATCTTGGTGCCTTTTGTCGCCTAACACTTTTAAAAACACTGGGTCATACTATCATAGTAAGTGCAATGCCCAAATTTCATGAATATTGCCACTGGTCAACATACTTAGTATCCTTATGGCTGTCAAATAATTGTTTTACACTAGCTTCATAAGTTAACATAATTATAGACAATACACTTGTTATGTCTTTTCAAGCATCTGATGTATATAGTGTTATATTTTGGCAAGTGTCACTATCATTTGCAATGGCTGCAGAGAACAGCATTCATTAGAAGAGGGTACATGCCTCATAGACTGTTGTACTTCTTTAGTTAGATGTGCAACCAGGGTTGTATAAACTATGAAAATTAGGTTATTCTTTCCTTTGATTTATTTCCATGTGTTTTATCACATAGCTTTTAAAATTTGGCCGAGTTGGTTTAGGTTCAGCAGAGAGCCAACTGATATTACCCAAGAATCAGGTATTAGTTTGAAATTGGTCAAAGTGTCAGAAGGTAAGCTGGATTGACTGATTTTGTGGAAGAACAGGTGGTCCTCGTCTATGGCTGATTCCAGCTAAAATGTGTTAGAGAAGGAAGAAAAAAAATGAAGGAAATTAGTTGATTGTAGTGTACTATTGCCGTCGCCACCTCAGTTTCTACATACTCCAGTGTAGCTGCAGTTGCATTGCCTATGGATCTGAGAGAGAAGAGGTTTGCTTGAGGATCCAAACTTTGAAAGAGAAATCTTTCCTCTTTTTTGCACTATTCAAAGTTAAATAATTAGTTAAATTGAGTTTAGGAATTAGTGCTATAAGTTATATTTCTTGTGTTAGACTACTAATTCATAATATTTTGTCAATTATATGACATGTTATATATTGATATTCTGGAATATTTAGTTATTTGATGATATGTTATGTAATATACAAGATTATACATATTTTATATAATATACATGATTATACATAATACATATAATATATAGCATATAAAATTTAAATATAATATTTTCTATAATAATATTAAATGTTTTTATAATTTTTGTAGAATATTTAAGATAATTTTTCTTGAATTATATTTTTATTTTTTTATGTTTGATGATTCTTCATTTAGTTATTTTTCAAATTCCCTCATTATGGTCCAACCTATACTAATTTTGTCACTGGCTGATCCTGATCTTGGTCCTGATTATGTCTCCGTGGTTCATGCCCCTACTACAATCTTAACAAATATGGTTTGCATTGCGTCAATGCTATTTTTCTTATTTTGGACTGCACATTTGCTGTATCATGTAACATTTGCAAGTATGTTTTTTGATGTATAAAAATCTTTCTATGTTGTCTTATTATGTGATGTATGCACAATAAAAAAAATCCTTGTTAACATTTTATATGACACATGAGTTCTGTCTCTGATATTGTATTGAAAATTATTTGTCTATGTTAACAGGCACATAATAATAATAATTATTATTATTAAAAATATGCATCCTCTGCACCTGGCAATAATCCATGTTGTGCAGACTCTCAAATAAACGATGCAACTTTTACTCTTGTGTTAGTTTTATTTGGAGTTGGAGAAAGGGAAAGGGCCACAACTGTTCTGTATTTGGTTTACATAATAAATGTTGTGACTATCTTTCTTTTCTCTAGGGAAGCAGGTCTACCATTCCTCATTTGTTAAATACTGATGCAATGAGAATGAGTCACACAGATGGATCTCAAACCAGTTCTGCTGTTTGTTCTTATTTGGATCATCTTACTTTTCCAACCCAACCATCCTATGCAACAAGTGCCCATGCTGCTGATTGGAATCGCCAAGCTCCATCCTCTGAGTTTGAAGATGCAGAGTCTGGAGAGGAACATAGTGAAGCTTCACTTGCAGATTCTTTATCTCATTCAGGAATTCATGTTGCCTCATCTGCAAACCATACTGGACAAGAAAACGTTGCTGGATGTAGTGGTTCCCTTGCTCATCTTCGTTCGAGCGATTCTATAGATACTGGAATCTTAGGTAGATTATTTGGTCCTTCGTCCGCAAACCAAGTGCCATTGCAAAATCTTATATTAGGTGAAGACCAACAAAAAAATTGTGAAGTTTCTCAAGGAGCTGGTAGTACCTATTAGCTTCTTACCTTTACTCCACGTATTATTTTGCTGTTGTATTTCACATTGTCATCATAATTAGATTATACACATGTATAAGTATATACATGTGTATACATACTGGTGCAGATGATTAAATGGAATATCAGTACTACTAGTAAAATTTATATTGGTTGTTCAAATTCCTTGGATTCCTTTATCTTTATCTTCATCTCTTACTGTTCACCTAAATATGTTGATGTGTAGGTTCACTCGGTGGTGCTAGTTTTGATCATCATACTGCAGCATCCAAGATGCCTGAATTTTTTAACATAAGCCGAAAGGATTCTGGCATGCTGGAAGAGAATGTTTCCATTGAACAAGCTAAATGGTCTGTTAACATGCCTAAAATATTTCCAAATACCACCTCTGAGGGCAATGAGGTAGTCAAATATGTTACTGATAGTGGCAATAGTATCTTAATTAGCGATCATCAAAAAACATCTATTGGAGAAGGCACAAAAGAGAATCAGGTATATGATCGAATTGTAAAATTTGCTGTTTGCATATTCTTTTTAATTTTGTTGCCCCTTTGTAGTCGAGGATTCTTAGTCATCACTTATGAAAATCCTAAGTTCTTGCTTCATACTTCATTATTTCTACTAGATTGTAAGTTCATATTTAAAGTTTCTTTGGTGCTATAGTACTCTTAGCTTTACAAATAGATATTAAATGGATCTAAGGTGATTTTTAGCCCGAAATAACCATGCAAGGGTGCGATGGGGTTTTCAATGTCATCGTTTATAATTGTACCAAATAGACATCTTAGTGGTTGGATTGCTTTTATACCACAATCTTTTAGATATTGCTAATATGCAATTCCAAGAAGCTAGGCGCTTATCATCTACCTTATGTTTATTTAGGAGGTTGCCACTTAAGCTTTTCCTGGAAGTCCTTATGAATTATATTTATAGCACTCAAGAAATACCTTATAATATTTCTTTGAAATTTGTGGTTTTGTGTTAAATTTGATTGCAAAGTTTTTCTTTTTCTCCAAAAAACCTGCTATCATGAAGTGATTGTTGTTAATTTGAACTCAAGTCAACACAAATGATGACTGACTTGCAATCCTTGATTGCAAAAGATGTCTTGAAAATTAATGAATTTTGTAAAGTATTGGTGGGTTATTAAACTACCAACACAATTGGCATGATAGTTCCAACTCCTTACCACTATCATTTTTGTCCTTTATCTTGAATTTTCTGTCTTGATCACAGATATCGCTAGTTCCTTTATAAACCAAATTCCAACAAGTATGCTCCTGTTACATTCTATATTTATAGCTCATTTACATTTAGCTGAAATTTGCATTCTTTTTATATGCTTGTAGATATTATGTTTGTTGCTTGTACATATAAAAACCTTTGTGTCCATGTGTCTGATTGGAATTGAGAATGTGCATCACATTGTGCAGGTTAAAGTGGAAAATTCTGAGAATATAAGCAACCTTGATCATGGACACTTGGTCGATATACCAGGCTATATGTTTCAGGTGCCCAATACTAATCTTTCTCAGAGCACACTGCAAACCATAAACAATGGCAGCTCTAAGGTGACCGTTGCTTCTGACCAACCTCTGAGTTATGAAGCACAAATTTTATATGGTTTAAAGAAGTCACTGGAGAATGAGGGAGATTTGAAGAAGTTAGACAGCTTTGGAAGATGGATGAGCAAAGAAATCGGTAAGGATTGTGATGACTCACTGATGGCTTCAGACTCTTGCAACTACTGGAATGCAATGGATGCTCAGAATGATGATAAGGAGGTATCAAGTCTTTCTTCCCATATGCAGTTGGATATGGATTCACTAGGACCATCTCTTTCCCAGGAACAGCTATTCACTATTCATGACTTCTCACCGGATTGGGCTTTTTCTGGCATTGAAACAAAGGTATTATCTACTTTCTGTGCCAACAGAAATAAGCCCAGAAAGCATCTGTCTTGCGATCTTTTTGTTCTTATTATGTGGGAGCACTTTTTTCAGATTCAGTTTATTACATCTCCATGGCTAACATCTTTTTACAGGTTCTGATTGCAGGTACCTTTTTAGGTAGTGTAGAGCCCAGGAGCATCAAATGGTCTTGTATGTTTGGTGAGTTTGAGGTGTCTGCTGAAGTTCTGACGAGTAATGTGATTCGTTGTAAAGCCCCTTTACATACCCCTGGTCGGGTTCCATTTTATATTACATGCAGTAATAGGATAGCCTGTAGTGAGATTCGAGAATTCGAGTATCGTGAAAACTTTTCTAGCTTCTCTTCAGTGCCAGAAAGGGATTTAGAAGAAGTTATTCTTCAAGTGCGTTTTGCAAAGTTATTATCGACTGGGTTGGACCGGAACTGGCTGGTCTGCTCTGTTGAAAACTGTGAAAAGTGCTTCCTTAAACAAAAACTGTTGTTAATGCTAAGGGATCAGGAAAATGAGTGGAATGTTATCGACAAAGACTCTAAGGCCTTTCACAGTGATCTCAGGATACCTAAGGATGGATTGATTCAGAAGTTATTGAAGGGTAAACTATATGAGTGGTTGCTGTGTAAAGTTCATGAAGAAGGTAAAGGACCTAATGTTTTGGATGAGAATGGTCAAGGGGCTATCCATCTGGCTGCAGCTCTTGGTTATGAATGGGCAATGAGTCCTATAGTCTGTGCTGGAGTCAGTCCAAGTTTCAGAGATGTAATCGGTAGGACCGGGCTCCATTGGGCTGCATACTTTGGCAGGTTTGTTTATCATGCTTCAGAACTGTTTAGTGCAGAAAAAGTTCAACATCAATCATATTATCTGTTTTTCGTGTTTGTTATGTAAACTGAAAATGAACATTTACTCTATACCAATAATTAAGCATGAGCAGTTCCAAAAGTCTTAAGTAGTTTTAACTTTTTACTATCAAAGCTTAATTGTGCCAGTTTGTGTGGAAGAAGAAATAAGTTCATGATGAAAATAAAGAAAATTAAGATGCACTTTTTGATATCATTGCTGCTGGGTGATTTGCCAGAAGAAATGCAGCTGACTATGGAGAAAATGTCATTTCCATTGTGACTTGTGGGTATGCAGAACAAGGATATCATGGATGTTATAGCATGTGCATGTTTGCAAGGGTGCAGGTAGAAGAAAGAAGGGGCAGGAGGGTGTGGGCACCCTCTGAACTGGAAACTGCTACATGGGCCTTTCTTCTTCATTCTAGGTGTTAAACAAGGATAATGGTGCATATCTAAAACCAAAAGAAGAAAAACATTATGGAAACCATGATCTCTACTTAGTGGACACTATTTCTAGTAGGACTATGGATTTCAGTTTATTTTACTGATCACCTTCTATTTTGTACCATCTGAAATCCCTTATGTAGAACCTTTTAATCTTATTCGATGGCTAAACTAAAGTAGTTATCCTAAGTCATTCTGGATCTACATAATCTGTTCTCATCTATTCTCTTTAGGCATCGGCTATTTTCAATTTGTAGGTTATATGATCTGATGTTTATAATGGCTTAGTGGAGTACTTTTAATTGGGTTAATTACTAATGTTGCATTGTGACTCGTCTATTTTGTGTTACAGCCCTCCTACATGTATTTCTTTGCTCCACCTTTCTTTTTGTGCCCACAGATAGTCACATGTGAATGACGCATGCATCGTGACTTTGCATGTCACATGTCTTACCGCTCATTCATTGACATGTCTTACTGCTCATTCATTGACATGTTCTTGCACCACAATAATGGAAATATGGTTTTGAAATGATAACTTTAGCAAATTAAGGTATTTCCCTTTTTGGTTTACATAGGTGCTGAAGTGCATGTAAAGCTTATATTACAATAGGTGCTGAAGTGTATGTACAGCTTATATTACAGTTGTCTCAATTCTACTAATGTGTCACTTGACCATCTTCAGTTGTCTCTCTATCTTTGTATGTTTTCCAATTTGCTGATGTTTAGTACATCAGCACACAACCTTAAGGTATTCTTGATGCATGCTTCTATCTCCTTCCCTCAGTCAAGGTTTTTTCTTGCCATGCATGCTTGGCACATACTACATACCAGGGTTCACCATTTCGGGCACCGGACTCGTCTTGGAGATTTGTCAAGTCGGTATGTATCGATGTATATCGGTGTTTCTGAGAGGAAGAAAAAGAGGGAGAAGAGGAAGGGACGGTGGAGGAAGAAGGAAGAAAGTGGGAAGATCAGGAAGTAGCAGAGGAGTAAAAAGGAAAAAGAGGAAGAGGAAAGGAGACATTCTTGAGAAGTGATTAGGGCAAATATCTAGCGTGGTGATGTGCAGTGAGGTCGCAGCAAGTGGAGGTCGTCGGTAGTTGCCTGCGTGAGAAGCGTCGATTGCAGCATTAGTTGCGTGGCGATGTGCAACTTCCATCGCGACAAGCGGAGGTTGTGGTGGTGAGAAGTCGTAGTCGCAACATCAATCGCGTGAGAATCTGAGGTAGCACGGAAATGGGATTTAGGGTTTTCCACTTCCCTTCGATATGCTGGACCGAACCGGGATGGGTCCGCATATCGGTCAGTGCTCAGACCGGTATGTGTTGCCCTTTTCATACCAGTCCAGGCAAAACGGTGATCATTGCTACATACTATTATGTTTTAGTTATGCTAGCTTCTATGCTGACTCATGTGCACTCTTTAGGAATCTTTATTATCTACGCCACTCTTTATGACTTGATTCTATGTAGATATATATACATCATACTCGGCTCTTCAAATGATAGTGTTATTTTCTGTCTATTTACTCACAGATCCATCTTAATCTCTGTATATAATTGTTTCACTTTAATATCCTTAATATTTCTGATGGGATTAATAATCTACATGCTTTTAGACAGACCAAAAAGTTTAATCCTAGCTGCATGATCTGATAATAATATAAATGCTTATAGAAACTTGTGAAGAGATGGAACAGGCAAGGAGTCCTGATTTCTCTGCAGCTATCTGTTTCCAAAGATCTAAATTTGGTATTGCAAATAGATTGCTGCATAATATTGTAGATGTATCAATTTGAAGTTGAGGCAAATTATGGATAAGGACAGATGCTTGATCACCTTTTTTACTTCTAGATATTGTTGTTAAATTGATTAGCAATATGACAACAGTTTACTTATTTTCAATCAAAGGTGTAAGTCTTTGTAATATACTTTTCAGACTACTCCAACCAAGTTTACGATGCGTTATATTTTACATTGCATCTTTTACTTGTAACCAACAGACTTAGTATTTATCTGTTTATTTTGTGCTGCCGTCACTTTTAGGTTCAAGAAGCTTTTTAGTTGGTGCTTCATTCCAAGAAGACAAGAACCTTATTTTGAATTTTTTTTGTCTTATTTAAAACATGCATTAAGTTGATAATTTACCTTATTCTTTAAGCTCCATGCCTGGATTTTTAACTATGATTTAGTCGTTGACTGATCAGAGAGGAGACAGTTGTTGAGTTAGTGAGGCTTGGAGCTGCTGCTGGTGCAGTTGAACACCCAACATCAAAAGTTCCTGCTGGTAAAACTGCTGCTGATTTAGCATCTAGTAGAGGACATAAAGGAATTGCTGGATACTTGGCCGAAGCAGATTTGACCAGCCATCTTTCTTCATTAACGGTAAAAGAAAGTGAGATGGGTAGACTTTCTGCAACTTTGGCTGCAGAAAAGGCCATCGAAAATGTACAAGAGCAAAACACAGTTTCTCTAGATGGTGGAAACGGGGAACAATTATCTCTGAGAGGGTCTCTTGCTGCTGTAAGAAATTCAGCTCAAGCTGCTGCACGAATTCAAGCTGCGTTTAGGCTTCATTCTTTCCGCCAAAGAAAATTAACAGATAGCAAAGACAAAGATACTGAGATCTCAGTTGATTTGATGGTTCGGTCCTATCTGAACAAGTTCCCCAAGATAAATCACTACAATGAATCTTTGCATATGGCTGCTGTTAAAATACAACAAAAATATCGTGGATGGAAGGGTCGTAAAGAGTTCTTGAAAATCCGTGACCGAATTGTGAAAATCCAGGTAAGTTTTGTTTGAGTTTTTGGGTGCTTTTTTATTTGTGTTTATACTGTTTACTTCATTGATGGAAATGTTTCCACGTTTTGTATGGTAGCTATATGTGTAAAATGCCTCCTTTCCCTGGTCTTTTTGAAACATGGGTATGGCGCTTACAACTTTAGTTACATGTTTTTAGCATTCTATGGAACATCAGATCTGAGCTTCTTGCAACTTGTGAATGAATTTTATCGGATATCATGAATCGTAGGTCATATACATAAGCCAGTTCATGAAAACAAAGCTTATTGCTATCTTTTCATTTTATGCTGAAATTCTTTATGGAACTAGAATATTTGATATCAACCAAAAGTCCTAGATTACTAAACTTAAAGGTTCGTAGTTTTCTTGCATCCGACTTTCAAATAAAGGTTTATGAACACTAAGTTTTTCCAAACTCTTCTCTTCACTGGAACATTTGAGAAAATCCACGTGTTGACTTTACAAGTGATGCATTCTTCATTGCTGTGGTAATGCACTTTTCCAGCGGAATTAATTGGAATAAATCTCTAGGAATAAGATGGATCGATGTGCTAACCCACTATTTGTACTTATAAGAAGGGAAAGCTCCACGATCTTCATGTAGGAAGCCTTTGGTTCTTTAGTGGAGAGCACTTTAGTTGGAGCTGTACGGTCCTTGGCCTCTTTGACATCCCCCTAGACGGAAGAAAATGTAAATGACTATTTTGTCATAGATGAGAAAGGAAGCAATTGGCAGATAATTGTCACTCTTGTGATGTATGGTTTAGCATCCCACTTTATTTTCAGTAGCTCTATTATCTTGTTTATTGAGGGTGCTGTCCACTAATGTAAGGGAAAGTGATGTTTTGCTGGTAGTAATAGAAAGTACTGAGTCTCCATGCTTGAGAAGGTTGGCAGGAATCTCAATTCCTGATATTTAGAATGGAGTCCCCTGGTATTTAAAATCATATTTTCCTTCTATTCTACACCTACAACTTCTGTCCACTAATGTTTTCATTCATGAACAACCAGCCGTATACATTAATCTACACATTTAATAAAGTCTTCCTTTTATTATTATATATTTTTATTTATGTGCCTTATACTGATATATATGATTCGGCTTATCATGTTGACTAGGCCTATCAGTCCATGGTTGGACTTATATGTACTGGTATCGTGTGTTACTACACCAAATAAGGATTGATAAATCAATTGAAATAAAAAAAAACCCTATTTCAGGATTTTTTATCCTAATTTATCGGTATATAAATTAAATTTAGGACATAAACAAGCATAAATAATCCTTTAGTTATCCATTCAACATGGTAGATTAAGCTCGTACAAAAAGTCAATACATGGTCAATCTAAGCTATTTTTTCTCAAATACTTTGTTAGATCTTAATTTTTTTTATTAATCACTAATAAATCAAGAATACCAATATTCTTTACACCAATTGCATTACCAAGAATTTTCAACAATTATAAAGAAAACAAAGAGATAAGTTGAAGACAAGTTTCACGCAACTTCGGGTTAGAATTCCTCTTCATTATGTAAATCAATAGGTTGATTTTCCCTTTAAGTGGAATTCTTAAAAGGAAATTTTGGATTAGCCTCCACTTGAGTACATGCACTTGACCTTAATCTTTATGTAAGTTCCTTAGAACCATAAAACATTTTTTGTTTCATGCATTATATAGTCAAATTGCAAATTTTGTTTTTTTTTTGGACAAACCTCCTTGGTGCAGCCATTTACACAGTAGAGGAAAGGAAGAGGGCACAGTAGAAAGTACATTATGATTCTAAGGGTGTTGCCCATAATTGCCATGGATGGCAAGAAGAAATCCATGTATGTTTGCCCAAGTTTTAAAAATATTAATGTATACAATCCACTTGCTGTTTGCTGTATTTTTGTTCCATTTAAGGTTCTGGTCCTTGTACATGGACACAGATTCTTATCAAAACATGGGAAAATATAATTTTATTTCCAACGATTTCATTTTCCCTATAACTCTAACTCCATGGCTAGATGTGCTTTTAGAGTTTCTCGGAACAATTATAAAACATAAATCAATAAATCAGGATTTTCTGTTATAATATAATGAAAAAGCTTCATCTGCAAAAGGAATATTGAAGTCAGAATACTCAAAAATTCTCTCAAATAGCATGGAATAGACATCCATAGGGTTTCATGCTTTTGTGGTGTTTTCTAATAGGAAATATGTCTGTTGTATTTTCTTTGGGATATTATATGCTTTACACTAACTAGTTTAAGAGCATAAGTCAGGGGCTCATCAGTTTTATTTCAGGCACACGTGAGGGGTCATCAAGTTCGCAAGCAGTATAAGAAGGTAGTGTGGTCTGTTAGCATTGTTGAAAAGGCTATCTTACGTTGGAGGCGCAAAGGAGCTGGATTACGGGGCTTTCGAGCTGAGAATACAACTATATGCATTGAGGGAAAGGTTGGGGCAACTGACGAATATGATTTTCTCCGTCTTGGTCGGAGACAGAAGGTTGCTAGTGTGGAGAAAGCTTTGGCAAGAGTACAGTCAATGGCACGCCATCCAGAAGGCCGTGATCAGTACATGAGACTGGTGGCATGTTCTCGTAAATCAAAGGTATTTTGCAATTTTAACTTGAGTCTTGCTATTTACTGTTGTGCATTGTGCAATCTAGGAATTTACTGCAGTTAATTCACAGTGTCCGCACAAGCACCACGTAGTTGATACTAGACATAGGTGATTAATTACCTGAGCAGTGAGTCTATTCTTCTTGACATTTTTATTCCAATGGATTGTATATTAAGATTTGTGTTATTCCAGTTTCTATATTTGATGTGCTTTCTTTATTTTAAATCATGATTATTGTTTCTTTTGTAAATGCCAAGGAAACTCTTGAGATTTCTCATTAAATTTTCTTACTACAGCTAATATGTCATGTTTCTTTCTAGTTCCCAATTTTCTTTCTCGTATGTGATTGTTCATACATGGTTCTAATTTTCAGTAAGCTCCAAGCAGAACTTATGATCAAATTGGTCACAGGTGGATATTGTCGGAATTTCTTACTGTTTAGATTTATTTTCAGTTAATCAAGAATGAAATGGGTAACATGCCTTCCTAAAATGCAGAATGTGGTGAGAGTGGCCTTCCTATACATGCTAAGTAGTGTTTTCCTTTTTTTCTTTCCTGACTGATTCACCTATTCACATGTTCCACGATAATGCAGATGGTGGAAAATGATTTATAACTGAAAGGTAAAGTTGAGTTTAATAAGTTTAACAAGAGCATGCAAATATTTATGGTTTCTTGTTTCAATAATATTCTCCTAAATTAAGTCGAACATCTTCATTTTTTTTCCCATATGTACAAGAAAATTTTGCAAAGTTCAGTTGATTGGAATTTGATGAAATTAAATAAAATTTTCTTCCTTGTACTTCTAAATTGAGTTGAATGTCAAAGTAGTTTAATCTTTTTCTAATTGTGCAAGAAAAATTGCAAAGTTAAATGAATTTGGAATTTGATAAAATTGAATGAAATTTGTAGTTTTTTTCTTTATTAATTTTGATTTCAAAATTCTTAGCTTTACACACAATGGAGCCACTATATAGTTTTGGATAGGGTAAGGAGTCAGGAGTGCCCATTTGCATATCTTAATTTTTATGATTTCACCTTGGTTAAATTTGAACAGATAAGAAATCTTTTGTCAGTAATCATTGCTTTTTATTGTTCATTTTAAGTTGCCCTATGCTTTGCTTCTCTAAATAGGTTCAATTGCAACCGTTGAATTATTTTTGTACAATGATACTATATCTATGATACAGGGGTTGTAATCTACAGCTATGATACACTGTTTAGTACTGCAATTGAGTTGCGGATGAGTTGGATGGATGCGGGTCTAGGTTAGGGTGCCACCATCAATATCAGAAGAGATGGTAGAATAAGTAGTCCTAGTGGGAAAAGATTACTTGTGGACAATGTTTTTAACAGCACTAGGCCCCAAAACGCTCGAGGCGCTAGGCACCCGCCCAAGCGATGCAAGGCGCTCCCAAATATTATAATTAAAATAATATGCGACTAAATAGAAATATGCTAAACAGGTTTATAGAGACCTATGTTAGAATTAAACTGCTCCAAAAGCATCGTGTTAACCAAGAATGTTTTGTTGCTCTAAGACATCATCAAGTAAAAGCTAAGGGAGTTTCATGTATAAATCAAAGTGCATATTGCCTATGGTGTTGTAGATACAACAAATATATTTAAACTACTCCAAACGAGTTGTTGCTCGTCTGTTTGCAGTTTAATTAACAGGGGAATGGATGAAGCAATTTAACTAACAGGAAGGTGGGGGAAGTAGAGGGTGGAGAATGAAACTGCAGCTAGGAATGAATGAAGCTACAGCGGAGTATGAAGGCAGCATATGACGTTGTCGATGACAGTGGATGGAGCTGCAACGTTGGAGGGAGCGTGCTAAGGCCCAAATGAAGGCGATGGAAGAGGTTGTCGGCGACGGCAGACATAGCTACTATAGCAGCAGACAGAGGTATAACGGTGGACAAGGTTTAGGGTTTAGCCGATCTGTAGCGGCGAACCAGATTGGACGAGGTTGCTGATGGCGTCGGGTAGAGCGAACAAAGGTGATAGATGTAAGGTTTCATTTCACCTTTGTTTTCTTTTCTTGGGTCGGGCAAGGGAGGGGGTTGGACAGTGTTAGGGTAACTACGTTAGTTGGTTCGATTGAACCAAGTTCTACGTCTTATTGAACCAAAGTTTGAACCTGATCAAATTTAGCTCGGGCACTTGCCCGACACACCTGGTGCTTGGGTTCAGGCAAGCACCTGAGTAGCACTTCATTGAAGTGCAATGCCTAGGGTTTTTGCGAGGTGTTTGGGCCTTGCCTTGCCTCACCCTAGAGCCTAGGCGAGCGCCTTTTGAAAATACTGTTTGTGGATAGGTGCAAGGGGCTTGTCAAGAGTTGTACTGTTTTTGGTGCTTTGCATTTACACATGCAATCCACTAGGAATCGTTCTGCATTATGCATTCAACGTGTACTGTTATTATTGGTGCTTTGCACCACTTACACATGGGATCCACTATGAATCACTCTGGGTTATGCATTCAACCCTGATGAGGGCATCAAACTTGAATGCAAAATATTATTTTACCTTGATTAGTATTTCATTGGGAGTTGTGGATGGGCTAGATTGACATGCAGACAAACACTTGAAACCACCTAGCGGCACTGCATGCATGCAGCGTGGATGCATGACACATGCATGCATGCATGTAGTGGGGCAGATGGTTTTGGCTTTGGTGTTCTTTTTTTTTTCTTCATCCGATTCATGGATAATGAAATTTTAATCACATGATTATGGTATCTAGTTCTTAACAAAGTGGATGTCTCATTTTAGGATTGAGGTCCGGTTGCTCAAAGTATTATACTATTTGGGTTGACTAAATGAATCCCTTGCCACCAATGTTCCGTGGTTACACCAACAATGTACTGATTTGAAGTTCATGTTCAAAGCTGGTAGTTAGCTATGAAATTAAACTACCTCTTGTTTTACTAGTTCAGAAAATGGTAATAATAATCTCCAAATCATTGAAAAATTATTAAATTGTTCACAAGTTTTTACTCGTCCAATGTATTTGCCAAGTTAGTCTCAACAGCCAAACTAATAAAAATTAATTGATTATTGTTCAGTTATTCACTAACTCCTGATTGTATATAGCCCACAACTTGGTAGAACCTTGTAGCAACACCTGGATGTTTTAATTTAGTTATATGTTTCTTTAAATTCTTATCTACAAAGGAGTTGCAGATTTGGCTATTGTTAAGAATCTGAAAATGAAATAAACATTTGCAGTTATATGAATTCATTTACATGAGATATGTTACTGGGTGAGTTATTCTGTTTAGTCATATTCTTTTTACTATTTTCCTTTCTATCTGTTTTGATTTCTCTTTCAAGTTGATTTTGCCTATTAATATTCATTGTGTTGTTGCACAACCTTGATAAAACCTAAAACGTTGTTCACAGCTGGGAGACGAAGGTGGTGGCTCAGCCCAACTTCAAAACACCGAAGAAGAAAATGGTGGGGGCTGATCTAATCGCACCATCCACGCTGAGCTACAACGACCATATTTGTGATTTCTGGACGTTAAGAGGCGTCGGGGAGTTTGGGGAATTTGCACAAATCTTGTTCCTGTAAATATTGCTTATATGTAATGGATAAGATGTAAAGATTTGTCCTTTCCTTTTTGATAAGGCTGAAGAGAAGTGCAGAAAGAAGCTGGTATTTCTCTCTGGCAAGCAGCAGTCAATTCATTCACCTGTCGATTCCATGTGCAGCATTGTAATATTGGTTCTTCACTTCGCACTTCTGAGGCGTTTTATACCCTACCGAGTCAACTCAAAACATGCCGTGGATTCGAGCAGATTCGTTGCGCTGGCTGACGATGGATGCAATCGATGCATGTGACACCTTTTATAATTACAATAAAATTGGTCTCCCAGGTTGGTCCACTTAGCAAGTTTAATATTAACCCATCTCCCGAAAGATCCTGACCATCGATCCTATCATATTGATTTCACATTTGTGGCTAGGATCATCCAGGAGTAGGAGCGGAGTGCCCTTCCGTTCTCAGTTGAGCATCCGAGGAACCAGGGTGATTACAGTCGATCGAGATGGACGATGACCCGACCGAAGTCAAACAGTGAACCGAAGGACCGGTCAACGGTGGGGGAAATCGCACCGGGACCCGTTGACCGACGACCCGACGTTAGATTCGGCAAGTGGGCCCACCGTTTCGAACCCATTTTTGGGACGGTGAGTAGGGGACGAGTTGAGTGAATCCCACTCCGCGTCGGACCCACTGCCAACGCACTTGGGGATCACACGCGATGGATGGCAGCGCGAACTAACCCAAAACCGTGTTTCCGTCGAGACAGAGGACAGAAATGTTCGCAATATCGTGCTTACGTATGACGGCAGCGGTGGGGGATCCCTGGCACAGCCGACACAGGTAGCTGCACCGCACGAGGAGCCAGCGAACGTCGTCGGGCCCGGCGCGAACGCGGTGGGGGCAAATCTCTCCCCGATCCCTGCCACAGCCGACACAAGTTGCTGCACCGCACCAGGAGCCAGCGAATGTTGTGGGGCCCGGCGCGACCGTAGCGCGGCCCCCGCTGAGATCGCTGTCCACCACCTACTTCTCTCTTCGCTCGGAAAGGATCCGACGGCTGCTACGGCTCCGTAGAGCTATTCTGAATCGTCGGATCTATTTTTATCCGCATCTGAGAAATGAGATAAGTAAATAATAAGCACCGGTTGAGAAGCGCGTAGCTTCGAAGCGCCATTCATCTATAAATTGAGACGTCGGGCGAAGGGAAGACGCCGTCAAAGGGGTCTTCTTGATCCAGCGAGGTCAGGTATCAGCTCCGGAATTACCGGTATGACGCTCTTTCTTCTCTAGATTCTTAATGGTTTCTTTGTGAACTCGATGCTGTTCTTCGATTTATAGGTCGGAATGGGGGCTTTTAACTTGTCGTTGAGGTTGTTCCTCTGCTTCATGAATATCCGGATCTGATGGCTTTAGATCTACTCGCATGTTGTGCAAATGCTGTGTTTTTGTTTGCTTGATCCGTGTTGTTCTTCCTCGTGAGTGGCTAGATCTGGCCATAGTCCTAAATAAGATAGTCTGCAACCAGATTTCTTGTCCTTGCATCGTTGCTTGAGGCCAGATTTGGTATATTATTTGGCCAATCACCGATGATTGTACTTTTGACTGCCTGGATCTGAGAGTTCCGGCGAGAAAGCTTAACAGCTTAAGTGAATCGATCGCCCATTTTGATTTCGTTGATGATGATTAGATCTAGATAGATTGTGCCTTGTTCTTCTGTGGCCTCGGTGACTAGGGTTACAATTGAGAAGAAGATTTCTTTTTATGGAAAGGGGTAAGATTGCTATGTTGCAGGAGCTTTATGCACTGAATCACTCTTATTATTAGATCCAGTCACTATCATATGCCATTTGATGTTGCTAATGTCTGGTTTCTGCTGCGTCTCTGTTATGGCACACTCTCGATCCTGTGTCATAAAGTACCTCACTTTTACTTCGGTGTAATTTCTGGTTCTCGATGCTGCTTAATGTCAAATTATGCCTCACTCATAGTTCTCCTAACTCTGTTTTAAGATCCTCGAGTGTTGATTTGCTTCCTGTGGTGGCTTGCGTTGCCGGGGATCTTATCCACATTAAAGTGATCCACTTTGCTATCGCGTTGTTGGATTCTGATTCTTGATTAGATAGATTCTTTTGATATTCCCTCTGTTCCTTGGATTCTGATTCTTGGGCAAGTAGATTCTCTTGACATTCCATGCGCATTACTTTGTTGATGCTGACGAGTTCTTGTCGGAATCAGATTGCCTCTTTGCTGCCTTTCTCTATGGAACATTCTACTCGGACATAGGTGATAGAAGATAAGATAAATCTTATCTATTTTATTGAGGAAAATTCTCTATTCTATTGAGGAAAATCCTCCCTCCTAATCCCTATAAATAGGAGAGGGACATGCTAATGCATTAAGCTAAAGTTACTTCAATAAAGCTTCTTATCTTATTCTTTCTATCATGGTATCAGAGCTGCTTGCCTCTCTTCTCTCTTCTCGCTGCCGACTTATCACTGTTGCTTCTCCATCTGGCAAAAGAAAAAGCTTTCTACCATTGCTTTTCCATCGTCAGCCCATCGGTGCGACAAATCTTTCCTCTTCGGCGAACGACAATTGTCTTCTCCACTACCACTCTGCGCCAACGTCCGTTCCCTTCATCTGCGGTGTCTCTAGTGCTGTGCTCACCAGCATTGTCCCACCTTTCTTTCTCGCTGTAGCTACCTCCTACCTCTTTTGATGTAGCTTCCACCTCTGCTGCAGCTTCCTCCTCTGCTGCACCTTCCTCTTATGTTGCAGCTTCCTCCTTTGTTGTAGTAGCATCACTACAACATTACTGTAGATTTCTCTTCTGCCATCATCGCACCTTTCTCTTATGTTGCAGCTTCCTCCTTTGTTGTAGTAGCATCACTACAACATTACTGTAGATTTCTCTTCTGCCATCGTCGCAGCCATCGCAGCCACAACCGTCGCCATCGCAGCCACAACCGTCGCCATCGCAGCCACAACCGTCGTTGTCGCAGCCGCAACCGCCGCCGTCGCAATCGCAACCACCGTCGTCGTAATCGCAACCGTCGCCGTCGCAATCGTAGTCGCTGCCATCGCAGCCGCAGTCGCAGCCATCATCGTCAAAACTATAGTAACAACAATAGTAGCAGCAATATGCTCTTGCCCTACTCATGAAGCCTCTTGCTTGTAAACCATATTTTGGAGCATATTTTGGAGCACCATCTTGGGGGGGCATGATAGAAGATAAGATAATCTTATCTATTCTGTTGAGGAAAATCTTCTATTCTATTGAGGAAAATTCTTCCTCTAATCCCTATAAATAGGAGAGGGAAATGAATTTTATTGGGATCAAATGTATCAACTGCTCAATCATTTAGAGTTGCTTATTTTTGTGTTTATTCTGCAGCTTCGACGCCATGGCTACCGACGAAACCTTCCTTTTCACCTCCGAGTCTGTGAACGAGGGACACCCTGACAAGCTCTGCGATCAGATCTCCGACGCTGTTCTCGATGCTTGCTTGGAGCAAGACCCCGACAGCAAGGTCGCCTGCGAGACCTGCACCAAGACCAACATGGTCATGGTGTTCGGGGAGATCACCACCAAGGCCAATGTCGACTACGAGAAGATCGTCCGCGACACGTGCCGCGTCATCGGGTTCGTGTCCGACGAGGTCGGCCTGGATGCCGACCGCTGCAAGGTGCTCGTCAACATCGAGCAGCAGTCCCCTGACATCGCCCAGGGCGTGCACGGCCACTTCACCAAGCGCCCCGAGGAGATCGGCGCGGGCGACCAGGGTCACATGTTTGGGTACGCCACCGACGAGACTCCGGAGTTCATGCCCCTCAGCCACGTCCTCGCCACCAAGCTCGGCGCGCGCCTCACCGAGGTGCGCAAGAACGGCCCCTGCCCCTGGCTGAGGCCCGACGGCAAGACCCAGGTGACGGTGGAGTACCGCAACGACCACGGCGCCATGGTGCCCATCCGCGTCCACACCATCCTCATCTCCACCCAGCACGATGAGACCGTGACCAACGACGAGATCGCCGCCGACCTCAAGGAGCACGTCATCAAGCCCGTCGTCCCCGAGCAGTACCTCGACGAGAAGACCATCTTCCACCTCAACCCCTCGGGCCGGTTCGTCATCGGCGGCCCCCACGGCGACGCCGGGCTCACCGGCCGCAAGATCATCATCGACACCTACGGCGGCTGGGGCGCGCACGGCGGCGGCGCCTTCTCCGGCAAGGATCCCACCAAGGTGGACCGCAGCGGCGCCTACATCGTGAGGCAGGCGGCCAAGAGCATCGTCGCCAGTGGGCTCGCCCGCCGCTGCATCGTGCAGGTCTCGTACGCCATCGGCGTGCCGGAGCCGCTCTCGGTGTTCGTGGACACCTACGGCACCGGCAAAATCCCGGACAAGGAGATCCTGAGCATTGTGAAGGAGAACTTCGACTTCAGGCCTGGGATGATCACCATCAACCTGGACCTGAAGAGGGGAGGCAGTGGCAGGTTCCTGAAGACTGCGGCCTACGGGCACTTTGGGAGGGACGACCCCGACTTCACTTGGGAGGTGGTGAAGCCCCTCAAGTGGGAGAAGCCCGCCGCCTAGAACCCAGCTCGGCCTTCCTTACTGCTACCCTCCTCTGCTGCTTTGCCCCTTCTCTTTTGTGTCTTCGTTCCTGAGAATAAAAGTAATGACGTCTGGTTTGATTTCCATGAATTGATTAGAACAGAAGCGAAACGAACAGCTTATTGCTTGTTCTCTACGTTGTAGTCATCCTTGTTAATTTTCTCAAGAAATTTAAGTATTTTTTTATTATAATTGATAAAAGTTTATAATTTTATTGACCTATTTCTTGAAGGCACAAGTTTTTAGAATCGCTAGTTATCCAATCTGTTATAAGTTTTATGAGTTGTATTTGCTCTTGATATGCTTTTCCTTTTCTGTATTTGGCTATTTGGCTTGTATTTGAGTCAGTGTTCATGCGTATATTGAGTTCTCATTTAACTTCTAATATAATTAAAATAATATTAAAAAAATAAGCATGACTCCTACGTAAGATAAACATAGACAAATCGAAACGAAAGGCAATACAAATCGAAATGCAAGACAATAAATAATGATGCTAGCTAGTAAATAGTTTGATAGATCTTTCAAGAATTTGGGTTTGAATATGATTTCATCAATTATTCTTGAAAAAAAAGTCAACGACAGTCTTACCTCCATCATTTTTTTATTATATTGAAATAATATCGTCCATTGATGCAAGACTCCAGTAAACTGAGGTTGATATGCTTGAACCAGTACACATACTTGTTAGATCCAATTGCATTTAACTTATGTGAGTATAAAATTTAAGATTATGTTCCTATTATGTAAAAAAATTTAATATTAGAAAATAAAATAAAATAATAATAGTTTAAATATATGATATGTACTTTTCAATGTTACTCAAAAAAATTTTATCTAATCTATAAGCGCATCATCATCGTTGCTCTTTATCTAATCTATAAACGTATCATAATTGGATTCCAAAGTCATAATAATATTGATATGCAAGAAAAGTTAAATTTGTATTTCTCTCTTTACTTATTCTTCATATGATCATTATAAACGATAAATTATGAACAAAAGAAAGAAAGAATCATCAATTAATATAGTGAAACTTAAGTTCTTAATTAACATTAATTATTTCTAAATATTTTTTCTAAGCATCAAATGCTTTATACTATAATGCATAAAACTACTATAATACTTAGAGAAGAAAATTATTATGATATATCATAATGTATTTTCAATGACTTAGACAATTGAGTCTGATCACATCAAGTCTCGAAATAAAACTTTATAATTATATAGCTTAATTAGTTATTTCAAAACATGCCACAAAATTAGCTTCTATAATTGATAATATAACAATACATTGTTTTATAGTTTTTTTTCTATAAATTGGTCATCCAACTAATATAAATACAAAACATAAAGTAGATTTCTTACTATCGAGATAATTTATAAAATTAATATTTAAAAAGACCAATATTTCAAGCTGATTAAATTATATATATATATATATATATATATATATATATATATATATATATTCCCTTGTCCCTTTCATATATTTTATTATTTTTTATAATATTTTAGTGTTTCATTCTAGGTAGCTCTAATATACACATAGTACTCAACCTCTCAAATTGATATTTGTTCTAATATAAGCTTGAGCAGACTTTCAACTTCGACATATATAATGAATATATTTTTATATGATCTTTTTAAATTATTTTAAAAATATTTATTTTGATTGAATTTTTTTACTTTTGTCATTTGTTGAACAAAGTTTATAAACTAAATCTCTCTGAAACTCAATCAATATTCATTTGCTAAAATTTTTACTTTTATTATTTAACTTCAGTAAATTAACTAGATCTCAAAGTCTTGAGATAAAATTTCATAGTCATTGGCTTGAAGGCATATCATAATATCAACTTCTATAGATGATAATATAATAATATATTTATTTTATAAATTGCTCCTCTAACTAATATAAATATAAAACATAAAGTAGACTTCCACCTATTAAGATAATTTATAGAACCAACATAAAAAAATACCATCCTTTCAAACTAATTAAATTTTATATATTTGATTATATAATTCTTCATCTCTTTCAAATATCCTATTATTTTCTTTATAGCCTTTTATTTTTTTATTATTGGATAGTAGATACCAGTATTCTAACTACAAAATTGATATGGTATAGACTTGAGTATATAATAGACTTTTAATTGTACATACATAATCAATATTTTTTTATCTGATCCTTTTTCAAGTTACTTTAAAAACACATATTTTGATTTAAATTTTTATTTTTATCATCTGCTAATAAAATTGTATACTAAATATCTCAAAAATTTAACCAATATGTCCTTTTTGAGACAATCATAGTAATTCTTTAGATCTATTCTTGAATATTTCTATTAGGAAACCTTGGGCAGTATCATATGCACAACGGAAGAATAGAAAACAAAAATATCATATTTCTCACAAAAAAATGTTCTCGTCATCGTGCGAAGATTGGTACGTGAAAAATCTATAAAATTGAAAATTACGCGTATATAAAAGATATGTTATCTAGAGAGATCGTATATCTTTGAAAACTTTCATATCTATAAAAGAAAATAAAAGAGGTCAACTTACTAGTCATATGTGCATTGTAAACCAATCACCTAAGTGATAACACATGTAACATGATACACTCTCTTTTTACTTATTATTATTATAATATTTTCTCACTTATTATTATTATTATTATTATTATTATTATTATTATATATATATATATATATATATATATAGTGATATTCATGGATATGTGTAATGGAAATCGGATTGTGATGAGATTACGATAATGAGACCGATTCGCTTTTAAACACAAACCATAAATAATCACAGTTATCAGTTACTCGAGAGGGACATTGAGATAACCAAACAAACTTGCGTATTGTATACCCATCCATATGATGGAGGGGACTAGTCTTATAACTGCTCGTGTGGGGACACTATGGATATAATGCATGTGCTCATTGGATAATAAATTCACTGATTGATCCGCTCACGAAATGTTGGATTGTTGATGATACCTTATTGTTAAACATTGATTTCATTAACCCAGTGATATATCTGGTCCTTAGACTTGTGATATCAAGGTTGTCTTATATTAGTACTTAACTCTTTGATACCAGACTTGGAAGTTCCAGATCTAACACAACCAGTCATCGGGACTTGTAGCCAATCTTACGATGGCTAATGAGTGTCGATAGAGGATCATCCGCTCTTAGTGTGATGAGAGGAATATCCCATATATTTTTGCTCAGATAAATCATGGGCCAGTGTCATTCGGGTTGAGAGATGAGTTCTCCGGGAGAATCTGATTAAAGCGAGGACAAATAGGTCCAATGGATTGGATTCCTTTGTATCATCTAGGGATTGCGGCATAGTGGCCTAATACGTTTGCAATCGATGAGTCGAGTGAATTATTATGGAGATAATAATTCACTAAGCCATAAGGAGTTCTGAAAAGTATGACTTATGACCGACTCGATATTGGGCCTAGAGGATCATACATATATGGTAGGCATTGCGACGGGTAGAGGTTCAGATATGAGATATCCGTAGGAGCCCCTATCTTATTAGATATCTATTAAACCCTTGAATTATTGGATCCTATGGATGAAATCTAATAAGAGCCAATGAGAGATCATTGGATATATGTTCACTAATCTAAGAGGCTTAGGTAGTTGGATGGAGATCCAATACCCAATAGGGCAGGATCCATTATGGTTACGTTGACAAAGGACCTCTATAAATAGGAGGGAACCAAAGGGCCAAAGGCTAGGTCTTTTTGGATGCCACCTCCTATTCTCCTCTCCCCTTCTTCTTAGCCAACAAATGTAAAGATTTGGGTAACGATTTGAGGAGCATCTTCGCAGCCCCTACCATATGGATTATCGCTAAATAGGACAATTGACCTCCTTCATCCTTTTTCACAGATCTACTAGATTTTAGAGATATAAGATCTCTTTAGGTAACACAACTATCTCATACGTGGTTTTTAGTTTCGCAGATTTTTGCACACCAATCTTCGCATGATGATGAAACCTTTTTATGAAAATTTGGGGCTTTTGTTTCTATTCTTTTGGTACACATATGATGTCACCTCTATATTTTTCTATACAATTGTCCTACTCTCTAGCGGTGATCCACATGGTAGATGTGTCAAAGACACTCCTCAAATCACTACATGATCTTCCTTTTCACGTGCATCACATGATCAATAAGGGGCTGATCCTTCTTGTTGTCCACATGCTCCAAACTAGGGCTATCGACTGAGGAGAGAGGGGAAAGAGAATAGGAGGTGGCAGCCAAAAAGAGTCTAACATATTGCCATAGCCTTAGCTAGAATTGCCTAAGACGTGAGGCACCCTTGCGGCCAAGACGCGAACTTAGCTTGCGTTGCTTAAGTCGCGCTTCGCCCTTGCGATATTGCTCCACAAAGATTAGCCCACTTGTAACCTCTCACAGGTCCCGAAGGACATGTAAAAGAGAAAGTTGATTAGTTCGAAAGAACGAGCAACGGACAAGTCCCGAAGTCTCACGAAAAGGGGAAGCTTTACAAGCAATTCAGCGAGCACCTTGCGTGCACAAGAGAAAAGAGGGAGAGGGGGAAAACAAGGGCTTTAGAAAGTTGAACGAATAGCTGCAAGCCCACAAACAGTCGCTCACCTGGTCCCGGGTACGACAACAAGTTCCCGTCAAGGCAACGTGCGAACTTGCGAAAGAGTGTTCAACGCCCGATATATATTCGAAGCCCCATCCAGCCCTGTGCCACCCGGGGGGTTCAAAGGGGTTGAGATGGCTGACGTTTTGGTGAGCGGAGGCAGATTCCAGAAATCAGCCCGTGGCATGTGAAAACGAAGCTGTTTTGGGGTTGTTTTGCTCGGTTCGGTGAGCAATCGCTTTGTAACGCTACAGCTTGTTCGAACTTATATTTTTACAAGCAAAATGACCCAAAACCAAGAGAAAACATACTGTCAAGCAGATGTACATATAGGTATGAGCGACGAACGGTTCGTTGAACGGAGTTGTTGTGAGTGCGCAATGACCGTTCGTGACATTCTCCCCTACTTAAACTGTCGACGCCCTCGTCGACGCTTATTGGTAGTTGTTGATGATCTCTTCTTCATGTCGTAGGGCGTCTTCAGGATCCCAACTGGCTTCAATTCGGGGAAGCTTTCGCCACTTCACCAAGTACTCTATTTGCTCAGCTCCGTTGGGTAGCTTTATCTTGC